GTCGCTGTCGCTGTCGTTGTTGTTGTTGTTGTTGTTGTTCGCACTCTTGTTGCTGCTATATTGCTGTTGCTGTTGTCAGCAAATGCGTGTGGTGTTGGGTGGGTGGCCTCGCAAACGGAAGTGACAGTTGAACATTCATTCATTCATTCATTCATTCATTCATTCATTCAGTCAGCCAGCCAGTCAGCCAGCCAGCCAGTCAGGCCGTGTGCCCAGTAACCAGTAACCAGCAATCCAGCCCACAGTTGCCAGTTGCCGGTTCTGCTGTAAAAAAATAAAATAAAATACAAAAAAAAAAACCCTTCCTCCAAATGCCCCCAGAGCCGTCTAAGACGTCCGACGAGGCAAAAATCAAGCCAGCGACGAAGGCGAACATAAAGGAAGAGCTTGACGGGCCAAGTAAAGCACAAATTCTATGGCAATTTGGCGGCATGTGTGTGTGTGTGTGTGTGTGTGTGTGTGTTTGCGAAATGTCTTCGTGGCGCTCCTTGCCGGAAACACAACGCTATGACTGAGCGGAAGTTTTTTGGAAGCGCATAAAATTATTATGGAGTCGTCTTCCATTTTTTCTCTTTCTCTCTCCCACTCCCTCTCTCTGTCTCCCTTTGCTATCTCAAGTTGTTCGCTCCTTGTCGTGGACGTTGTCGTAGCGTCAATTGCGTCAGGACCTTTGGCTAGCACTTCATAGTCATGCCAAAAGCTTTTTATAGCCGCTGCATGCCAGCGCCCTGTCCGCGCCCCACGCGCCCCACGCTTCCTCCAGCTTCCAGTCCTGCTCTCTGGGCTCTTCTCGATATTTCAATGTAGTCTATTTCAAGTTGAAGCTGCTGAAGTTCGTCTCCATTTGGCGTTTAGCATTTAGCATTTTCTTTGTATCTCTTTTTGGCGTATTATTTTTATGCTCAAATTTAATATTTACATTTGGCCCGAGTGGATTTGAGCCTCAACCGACTGACTGAGGCCGAGGCGGGCCCCGGCTGACCGCAAACGGTTGTCTTCTATGTGTGTGCGCTATCTGAATATCTAGATGGCAGGCGGCACTCGCTACCAACTTTGCGCCCTCCAACCAAATGGCATTTAGATAAGCCCAACTTTGCGAGCGACGCTGCCAAATATTTGCGGCCATCCGCCAAAGGAATATTCCCACACAGAGATAAATAATTGCCGCCCAGCTGTACATACTTGTAGAGTAGATATCGAAATCATCTGCCAGCCGAATGCAATTTAGATAAAACTATTTCATAGGAAATTTATCAATTATCTGGCTGAGCCTCTCACTTGGACTCATCTGACATTCTCATCATTCTTAAGTCTCAGTTGGAGCTGTTGGCTGCTGAGATTTAATGGAACTGGAATGAGAATAAAACACTCAATGGAACTAGCTGTAAAGTAGATGTGGATGAAATCTGATTCGATGAAATCTTACCTCTAAAATGTTGCAATTGATCGTTGTCTTACTCCCATAGAAGTTCTGAGCTTTTCAAGCAGCTTTTTCCTTACATATGCATGCAATAATCCTTCTATGTGCTTGTAGAGCTTTTCTAGAAGCACACGTCAACTTAAGTGTACTCTTAGAGCTTTACGAAAAGCTTTTTAATAAGCAAAGTCGTTTTTGTATAGTTTTTAAGCTTTTCAAGAAGCTTTACACATAATATAAAGCAAGCTTGCTTTTGCATTTGTTGTTCCATACAATTATGCGCAGATCAATTTATAGGATTATTTTGAGCTTTTCTAGAAGCTTTTCCATCCATATTAAGACCTTTTCTTAAAGAGTTTTCATCATGCATGTGATGCATATATGTATGCATGTATGCATTTATATATCTTTGAAAATACACAACTCAACTTGTGTATACTTCTTTATCGCCTCAAGGAACCTTTTCACATTCATGCACAAAGTAGCTTTCATGTGCTTTTAGAGCTTTTTCTTATGATTGTTCATTACTACGTTGTAAGGGCACTCAGGCACGAGCATAAACTTTGAGCTCCGCTGCATTTCAAGCAAAGATCTGAAAGTCGAAAAGCTCATAAAAAGCGTTGGGTGTTGGGGGCTGCGCTTCTTTATAGATTTTTTTGATCAAATACTCAACAGCGTAATGAATAAATGTTTCCTAGAATATTTTCTATAGCTGCCAGTCACCCCCCAGCTCCAAAAGAATGACTCATAGCGCAACTTCCCCAGCTCTTGCTTAACCCCAGCCACTTGCTCAACCCCCCCTTGCACTGCACCAGCTGTTCCTTATCTTGGCCGCGTTCTTTGTGTTCTCTAGTTGTAGTTGTTGTAATTGCAGAACTCCCCCAGCCAAACGCCAGCTCAGCTGGCATTGAAGTAGTCAAAAAAAATATATATAACGCGGCCAAATAGCGCAACCCCCTGGCAGCACTGCCCCCACCCCGCACATAGTGCCACCCCTGCGGCCTGTGACTGGATGAGTCATGCGTCGGCCGCTTTGTCTCATTTGCTATGCCTACTCGATTTTTGTTCGCCCTTTTTTTGATTCGGTTGCGCTTGATACCCCACTGGCCCGGCCCAGCACGCCCACCCCGTCGCCCGCTGCGTAAATTAGCGCGCTGGCCAGCTGACTGGGACAGCTGACAATCCTCAGGGACGCGAGAGTTACCCCCGGAGAAGAGTTACCCCCAAGCTTCAAACACATTCGACTGACGGCTCTCTCAATCGGTTTCAGCTATTTCAATTCTCATTTATTTGTTCCGCTTGTTGTTGTATTTAGCTATTTCTTTGCTTTGGATTTTTTATTATGATTCTCATTGTTGTTGTTGAATTTTCTGTTCAGTTTGTAAAACATTTGAGGGGACAACAGGCAACCACTTAACGGTTGTTGCCACGTTCATCCATTTTGTAGCTGGAGCTATCTGTCTGTCTATCTGTCTGTCTCGTGGTCATGTCCTGGAGTGCGTTTTATTTTTCTACACCCATCCACACACACACACACACTCACACACACACATATATACTTTTATTCAGATAGACAGAGCTTCGACTGATTCATTCGGCAACGGGACTGGGGTTCCATTTGGCTTGCTTCGCTTTCGTGCCACACGTTTTGTACCTTGTCGCTGTGTTTCAGCTTTTCATATTTGTTGTAGTTGTGTTTTCTGCTTCTTTTTTTATTGCATCGCATGTTTTCTTATGAATACGTCGCATATATTTCACTTTTATGCCAACTCCTGCTGGCGCACCCGCACCCTCACCCGCACCCTCGTCGCTCTCTGCTCTCGGCGAGCATTTCCGCATGCATTTTCGTTAGGCTCTGGCGCATGCAAAAGGATAATAGAGCCTGGCCCATGAATCATGGCATGCTGTTTATCAAATACAATCGTATGGGCCTGCCACCACTGCCGGATCATGGTGGGTGGAGGGGGGGAGGGGCAGCAGGTGACTTGGCAGAGAAACAACCCTATCTGTGGTTACTTATAGCCACTCTCGCCCACTCGCCCACTCCTCCAGCCGCCCCACCGTTCCCACAAATATGTCAATTTTTCAATTTGTTACGTGCATGCATTGGTAAACAAGCAACGAATGCAGCAGAGCAGCTATGCCTGACTCAGAGATACCCCTTACTCAGCAGCTGCTCTCAGCTTCTGCTCAGGCATTTCCTAGCACTTGGACTGGACCTAGATTAGACTAAGACTTAGACTTGGACTAGACTTAGACTTAGACTTAGACTTAGACTTAGACTTAGACTTAGACTTAGACTT